AAAATTGTCTAGCACAACACAGTAAACAAACTTTCCTATCAGCAGACCAAGTAATTGACACATTAAAATCTTTCCTCACCATGTCGGCTGAAAACGTAAGCCCGAAATGGCGCAATGATTAATTCTAAGAAGGTTAGCATCAGCCATACTGATGGAAGACAGAACGTGTTCTCTTAGACGATTAAAAGAGAGCAGTTTCGTTTTGATGGTGCTAAAATTAACAAGCCATTCCTTGCTCAGAAGTTCCCGTAATTACTCTTTTATTTTTGCCCGGTATAGCATATACATTAAATATAGAAATATACCACTGTCACCTAATTATTGTTACATATCGCGTATAAAATATGCAAATAAAATTAACAAAGATTATGACTGATTGATTGATTTGCTTTTTACGTCATGTCAACCATTTGCAGGTTATCTAAACCCAGAAAATAACTTTTTAGATGGTAAGAATTTATTTTAGGAAACAAAAATTAATTATGAAAAAAGTTCTTCTAATTAACCCATAGCTGAAGGGAGAAGAGGTGGATTTATACATTTTCCAATTCATACATTTTTTTTTATTTGTGTGGAAGTGAATATAAGAAAGCAGACTGGAATTGGAAATCAGCTCTCAGATTCCGAGCCATTATCCATTACACCTGCCATACACTCAAGCTTACAGAACCTGGAATTCCCAAGAGGTAACTCCTCTAAATACTGACCAGGCTCGACATTGCTTAACAACGGTAATTGTAGGGGAACCGGTGTTTCAGACAGACTACAGTCCTAAGTTCCACCAGGTCAAACAAGGCTCGAATTTGGTGATATTTGGGGGGACGGTGTTTGAACGTGTAGTCATAAACCGGAAACTGTTCCGGCAAACGACATTCTTTATTATCTCCAGTTCAAACATGGCCCGTCTTTGTTGATAGTACGGGAAACAGTTTTTGAACGTGCTGTAGCCGTAAGCCGGAAAATGTTCAGACAAACTACATTCTTCATTTGCTCCATTTCTAATTAGGCTCGTCTTTGGTGATTGTACAGGCACCGGTGTATGACCGTGGTATAGCCGTAAGCCGGAAAGTTTTCAAACGAATTACATTGCTCAGTTCTCCCAGTCCTAACTAATCCTGACTTCGGTGATATTACGAGAAGCGGTGTTTGAATGTGCTGTAGCCCTAAGCCGGAAAGTGTTCAAACAAACTAAAGCACTGAGTTCCAACCGGTTCTAATTAGGCTCGTCTTCAGTAATAGAACAGGAAACCGGTGTTTGATCGTGATGTACCCGTAAACCGGAAAGTGTTCAGGGGGAATACATTCCTTAGTTTCACCGGTTCTAAATAGAATGGACTTCGGTGATAATACGCGACCCGGTGTCTGAACATGATATAACCGTAAGCCGGAGTTTTCATACGAATTACATTCCTCAGTTCCACCAGTCCTCATCTCATCTCATCTTGCGGCCTCAGCCGAGATTGAATTCACCAATACTTTGACTGGTGTAGTTCATAATCTTGTCAAATAGCTGAATTCTTGATGCTTCGCTAGGGCTATCAAGGGTGTTTTTTATCGTGACACCATCACTAAATGGATTGCCAACCAAGGCTCAGAGAGACTCCATTCACCCTCCTCTAAGAGCAGGTTTGAATTCAGAGTTTTCCTTTTCCTAGACCCGTTGCCATCCAAGACTATAGAACCCAGTCTGTCCCGCTATTTACCCATAGCTGGAGGGAGAAGAAAGAGGATTCACACCTTTGCCAAGGATGTTAGCACGTAAGTGAAACTAATGGATTCGACTGGAATTCGAACTCGGCTCTCCGAATCCTCAATCCAAGCCGCTATCCATTACTCCACCGTGCCTCCTCCAGTGAAATTACGAGAATCAGTGTTTGAACGTGATGTAGCCGTAATCCTGAATTTTTTTTTAGACAAACTACATTCCTTAATTCCACCAGTTCTAACTTGGTTCGTCTGCGTTGTTATCACAGCAACCAGTATTTAATTTGATCTTGACGTAAGCCGGAAAGCGTTCAAACGAACTACATTTCTTAGGTCCACCAGTGTTAGTATACCAACCTGTATTTCCAACAATCAATATGGCACACGGAGCTAGTAATAAATTAGTATCTATTTTTTTTTTTTTAATCCAAAACATATCTCTACCGTGGGTAATACTACATCTTTAGATAATTGTACATCTGCTTCACATTGTATAACGAACCGAATTTGGACATCTTCTGGTTTCTGATGATCGTGCCCTTTGAAAGTTCACCAAGAATGGGTAAATGAGATATCTATGAAAAACCTTGTATTTCAAGATACACAGAACTCTCATGAAAGTGAAGTCAAATTTGTAGACCAGGGAAATTCATTGAATGAATGCAGGATACATTAATTAAAATTATAAAGAATCTGTTGGCCTTTATGAAATATATATTGACCCTCCCTAGTAGTTTTCTATTGTCGTTACAGAAATCCACTCAAACATTAAATATAAAGAAAAAAACCCGGCGAAGTAGAAATCGGGAAAATGTAAATAAAGTTTTATTTTCTAGGAAGAGAATACGCTATCAAAATGTTGAATCTTATTACATGTCTTCTCTCCGACACTGAAAAGAAAGCTCGTGGATGTTGTAAAAATCTGTCTTTATTCAGAATTTAAGGACGTCATGTTAAAATCTTATCTTTGTGGCGTCTTACCCAAAACCGTTCTTTGTACCGACTAGATTGGTCGATAATGGTCGCATGATGCATAATAATTTGTAAAGAAGAAAGATTAATCTAAGAAGCCTCTTTTTAAATCTTTCTTACTAAAAAGAAAAATATGAAGACGTAATAAAATCATCGTTTTTATTACTATGTATATATATATATAAATAGTGGATTTTTTTTTTCCTATGAGGAAAAAATAAAACGTATATATTTTAGTTACATAAGTTTTGAAGGTGTCTATAACCTAAGAGATTTCACAACGCCTAAATATTGTTATATATTCTCTCTCTCTCTCTCTCTCTCTCTCTCTCTCTCTCTCTCTCTCTCTCTCTCTCTCTCATTTTTCCTCATCTTATTCCGGGCATTGAAAAATAATTATTCGGAGATGGATATCGAGTTCAAGTGTTTACACTACAGCATCAGTATCGAATAAGGCAAAATGTTATCAAGTACAATAAGAATAATATCACTTCAAAACCACTCACAGCTCACATTGCAATAATTAAACTCCCAACGTAAGTAAATCATTCAAGTTGGATTATTCGTCAATCTTATATCAATTAATTCTCTGTATTTCTTTACGCAAATATACTTAAACACAAACACATAAGCAACAAATCACATGACAATACAATCATGTGAGTTTAAAAGAAAAAAACAACTTCAAACGGGATTTAATTATTATCAAGGAGACCTGCGTATTTTTTGGACACAAATATTCTGAATATTTTTCTGTGGCAATTGGTGTGTTAGCGTTTTTCATGGTCCCTAATTGCCTTCCATAGACTTGGTTTGTTTTTTCATTTAGTTGAGGAATGCACTTTATGTGAATGTGACAAAACTGATTACGATTAAATAATCAATTTGTTTTCCTTTCTTAACGTTCTTCTTCTTCTATTATGTAAAGCGTCTCTTCAAGACGTAGGCGATCATGGCTCCCCACAACTTCTCTTGATTTTTTTACTATATTTCCCAATCCCTGCTCTGTCATGCATTTGCACATGTTAGGTTAGACGCTGTTTTTCTCTGTCATTGTCAAAATGCTCTGTTAGTGTCAAAATGCTCTGTCAGTGTCAAAATGCTTTTTCCCTGTCAAAATGGTCTGCCAGTGTCAAATTTACAAGAAAGGTCAGCGTTAAACTTAGTTGGAATATCTGTTATTTAAATTTATTTATTGGGGATTGATTCAATTTATTTGAAATATATGTCATTTAAATTTAGCCGATGTTTTGCCAGCCATTCCAATATAGAATCTAATAAATAGTGTTTATTATTCTTGCTGTCAATTCTCAAGAACAAAGAAAATGTATAAATTCACTTTCATATGTTTAGGTTTTATTACACTTCTAATCATCGCTTTTTAAAACAATAGACATTACCAAGGAGTGAAGGTAGTTAAAATAATAGCGGTGTCAAGGGAAAAAACTGTCCTTTTGACAATCGATTTTTTGTGGGAACGTTTGTTCGTTTTGCTAAATTTTCTTTAACGGGATCCTTCTCTTAGTTATCATGTTCTTTTTAAATGTGTGTGATCATAGCTCTCCACAATTTCCTGGTTCTTGTTGCTCTAATAACATTTGACTCCTTACAATTGTCTTTGTCCTTGTTATGACAACTGTACGTTTCTTTTTTATGCGCCATGTTTCTTAAGGACATAGTGATTATGGCTCTCCGCAACTTCTTGCTTTTTGTTGCTGTCTACTATCCTATTTTTGTTTGGTTTGATACCCATTCACGCAAACTCGTAGAGTAGGTTACTCGCTGTTTCTTACTGTTCCTCTTTCCTTCATTATGCTCTGTGAGTGTTAAATTTACTAGGCCCTCCTTTTTCATCCTCATTGTGTGCCCTCAAAATGTCAGATGTCTCTTTCTGATTGTGAGGATAGATTTCTTTGTTGTTCGTATTTTCAAGTAAACTTTCCCTTTGGTTATACGCCCTGTCCATACTATCCTTCGCCTTCGTCGTTAAAAACAATCTTTGTCACTTCAACAATCCTTTTAATCGATGAAGAAATCAGATATTACATAGCAGTTCATTAATATTCGCTTTGTTTCTAATGACATTTTCCTATTTCTTAATATGTTTCTGGGAGGCTTCTTTCGCTTGAAGTCATCTGGAAGGCATCTTTCGGTTGAAGTCATCTGGAGAGCTTTCACTTGAAGGCATATGGAAAGCATCTTTCGCTTGAAGGCGTCTGTAGTGCATCTTTCGCTCGAAGTCATCAGGAAAGCATCTTTCGCTTGAAGTTATCTGGAAAGCATCGTTAGCTTGAAGGCGTCTGGAGTGCATTTTTCGCTTGAAGTCATGTGGAAGGCATCTTTCGCTTGAGGGCGTCTGGAGTGCATCTTTCGCTTGAAGTCATCTGGAAAGCATCTTTCGCTTGAAGGCGTCTGGAAAGCATCTTTCGCTTGAAGTCATCTGGAAGGCATCTTTCTGTTGAAGTCATCTGGAGAGCTTTCACTTGAAGGCATCTGGAAAGCATCTTTCGTTTGATGGCGTCTGGAAAGCATCATTCACTTGAAGGCATCTGGAAAGCATCTTTCGCTTGAAGTCATCTGGAAAGCATCTTTTGGAGTGCATCTGTCTTTATAGTTATGCACCTTTGGATTTCTGTATCACATTTTCATCTGTTACATGACACTATGGTCGAAGAGGAAGGACCAGACTGAACGCCACCTACCGCCGAAGACCCCAATTGTGGAATAGGCATGATCTCAATGGCCAATACGGGGGAAGAGGACAGCGCCAGTGGGAGATTGTTTATCACACAGTGCGTCGTTTCTGTCATCAGGGGATTTTTACTGTCATTACGCTTTTTACGTGACTTCTTCAAGAGGGCAGCGCAAGTCGGGGTTGGCGTAACGAATGTGGACCTTGACAGACCAAACATCCGACGCCCGATGCAGACAGGTTTGCCAGATCTCACCTGCCCCAATCCCATTTGAACCGCGGGGGAGGCGCTTCTGACCAAGTGTGCGGGCTTCTCTGTAGCGTAGATTTGTCCGCCAAAATCAAATTCAAGCGAATGGCCTCGTCAAACTCTCTTTGATTCACAGCCATTTCCGCCACAGCCACTGCCTCCAGGGGCAGGAGAAAAGAAACAGGGAGAGAGGATGACAATCCCGAAGCTGGGATGCGAGCAGGTGCCGACAAGAACACACACACACACATATGTGAGTGTGTGTGTGTTCATTACTTGTTATGGTAGAGGGCTTACCTGTCACGGTGATTCCAAGCCGTCTGGAGTTCCAACACCTGTAGGATCACCCTTGGTGGTAAGATCGAGGATGAGGGGCCAGACTGAATGCGACCAACCCCGAAAACCGCAACGGTGGAATAGGTAAATATTTACATGATCTCAATGGCCAAAACAACGGAAGAGAGCAGTGACAGTGGGGTTTACGTAGCCAAGGCAGACCTTGATAGACCAAGCATCCGACAGCCCGATGCAACCAGGTTTGCCAGATCTCGCTTGTGTCAATCCCGTTTGAACCGCGAGGGAAGAGATTATGGTTCAGTGTGTGGTATTCTCCGCTATGAAGAGGTGTCTAACAGAATCAAATTCATGCAATCGGCCGCGTCAGACTGTTTTTGATTCACAGCCATCTCCGTACACCAGAGTATTGAAAGGGAATACGGAGTGAGGATGACACCAGGGGCAGGAAAAAGAGAACAGGGAAAGAGGATGACGACCCCGACGCTCGGATGCGAGCGGGTGCCGACAAGAACACATACACGCGCGCGCACACACACACACACACACACACACACACACACACACACACACACACACACACATATATATATGTTTGTCTGTCTGTCTGTGAGACAAACATATATATATAATGCATATATATATATATATATATATATATGTGTGTGTGTGTGTGTGTGTGTGTCATTCCTTGTCATGGTAGAGGGCTTACCTTTCGCAGTGATTCCAAACCGTCTGGAGTCCCAACACCTGTAGGACCACCCATGGTGGCCAGATGGAGGAGGAGGAGCCAGACTGAATTTGGGTCTATCATTATACAGTTTCATCCGCGTATCTCATGTCGTTACTATTGATTCCGCGGATAATAAATCCTGGTAAAAGGATGTCTTCGTACTCTAAGTATTGTCGCACTGTATCAGTTAAATAAACCCGGTGAGGAAACGCATCTTTGTCTTACACGTCTTTCTATAATTCTGTATTCATTAAACTCGTTTCTTTCTCATCAAATCTGTTTTAACGATGCAAATGACGATATGGTTGCAGTTTCCAGTTCATCTTCCGGCTACGTTAATATTCTTTGCATATTTACAAGTGCAGATGTCTCCCGACAGGTATCGAACCCGTATTTCCTTTTTAATCAGGGAAACCGTATTCAAGTCAAGCGTGCATTACCATTAAACTACGAGAAGGGATTAACGCAGAGCAAGACTAAGTTATTTTATGTAATTTAGATCTTTCGGTGGGAACTTTCGAAATTTATATTTGCTGACTTTTTTCGTATCCGAAAGGTAATGTAGTTTATAAGCAAGTAATAGATTTTTATTTTTAATTTGACATTATATCTTATTAGTGTAAACGTTAATATTTGTATCTTATTAGTGTAAATGTTAATATTTATATCGTATTAGTGTAAACGTTAATATTTATATCTTATTAGTGTAAACGTTAATATTTATATCTTATTAGAGTAAACCTCAATATTTAGTGTAAACGTTAATATTTATATCTTATTAGTGTAAACGTTAATATTTGTATCTTATTAGTGTAAATGTTAATATTTATACCTTATTAGTGTAAACGTTAATATTTATATCTTATTAGTGTAAATGTTAATATTTATATCGTATTAGTGTAAACGTTAATATTTGTATCTTATTAGTGTAAATGTTAATATTTGCTGGTAATACGTATTTGAGTAGACATCCCAGTTTTTAAATAATGAAATCAACCGGGGAAGGGTATTTTGTTTATTAAAACTTTAGATCTCTTGGCCGGTAGGCATTAATTTTACTGTTTAAAATAGGAATTTTTCAAGTCAGTCATTAGGATTATAAAAACGTTTCTTCGAGGCGCCATCTCTAGGTATATAACCACATATAAATGTTATTTCTTAAAAATCATTCCATCCCAGTGTAATAAATGCCATGAAGACACAAAGGGGTTACTGAAGGAAACAGGGGACAATAAAAGCACAGATTTCAAGGGGATTGAAGATGATGAATGATATTGCATTTGGACTTTTGAAGAACTTAGTTTCCTGGAAAGCAGTCAACCGGAAGAGAGTTTCACAAGAGGGAAGCGCAAGAGAAGAAACTATTAGCATAAAACTTACGGTCATGACTAGCAAAAATAAACATGTCTACTCAAACACGTGTACTCGAGGGTCAAGTGTCAACTGATTTGATTAATATTTTGACATCATTCTTGTTTGATTTAGCGATACTGTTTTCAGGATTATTTCAGTTCTTTGGATTTGGGGTTCTTTTAAGAGTTCTTGGCATTCTTCCAAACACAACAATAAAGATGACGGCACTCGTCACTTTCATAATTTGTTTTTTGTTTTCATTCTTAGGTAAGATTAACATATTGCCCAGCCGTCCATTCTCCTTGAATTTCATTCGGTAGTTTTCTAGAATAACGATGCACTTTGATTTCACTTGCTTAGTTTACGGAAGCACGGTAGAGCAATAGAGTGCGACTCGGATTAAGGAATCGGAGAGCCGAGTTCGAATTCCACTCGAATTCATTACACTCACTTACGTGCTAAAACCATTAGGAAAGGTATGAATCCAACCTTTCTCCCCCATCTATGGGCAAATAGTAAGACAGACGGTGTTCTATAGCCTTGGTTGGCAACCGGTCTAGGAGAAGGAAAACTCTGAATGTAGCCCTGGCGAAGAGCATACTATACAGATGAGGAAGAGATCGTTCGCATTCACTCTATGTTCCCCCGACTACGGTCGGCTCCTTTTTTGTTTTGTTTACGATGACGAGATCTGGTTTCTTGACCTGTATCCGTTTGAATTTCAAACTCGCAAAGAATCTTTCTTTTACTATCAGCTTGAATAACGACTGCTTTGTATTATTATTCTTACTATTAAGGAATTCCTGATGCTTAAATATTGGCAAACGATTTCAAATGTCGCTGGCATTGGTTATTATATAAACATATAATTTTTTTTTCCGAGATAGACGTTTTTCTATGAGAGCATGTACGCTTTTATAAAACAAAGTTTTCGATTCCAGATTTTTTCGCGACAAAGTCAAAGTCATGCTACTTCCTCCCAGTTTTTTCGACAATATTCCTTATCGTTGAATCAAGTAGAATTTGGCGTCCTTAAAAGTGAAAATAAATGATTCTTTCTAACGAACTGACAAGTAATTTAAAAAAAAAAGTCTATGTAAGGCATGTTTATAGAAAATGGAAGTATTAAAAAACAAGAAGTAAATATTGACATGAAACATCAACTGGTCGGAACTTTTGAGTCGCGTCGTTGAAATTTGCCACGCCTTGACATTTGTCGGTTTTGTAGACACAGTGACGCTGTTCGCTTACGGTCCATTGTCTGCAATTTATTGAGTTTCGTATTTTTCGCAAGAAACATTAACAAGAAACAATAATGGCTTACGGCAATTGTTGCTTTCCTCAGCAGAGTCTTTTTAAAAGGAAATATCCCTCGTCTCACGCTCTAGGATTATACTATTACTACTAATACTACTACTATTACTACTACGACGGCTATTACTACTATTAATAATAATTACTACAAACACCCGTGTTCTGATGAATTTTAATTTTTAAATTAATGATTTGATTAGCGCGTAGTGAGTACTACGCAAATAAAAATATCGGTTGAAAATCTCCCTATCACATCGTTAAATATTTGAGTTCCATAACTTTAACAAAATATTGCAATATTACATATATTTATTTTACATACACTTAGAACCGCCCAGTAGTTACTAAAACCAAACTTGTGAGTAGTGTTCCAGTGCCTTATTCTATTAGTGAACAATGTCTTCTCCTCTTTGGAGACATGTTTGTACTTAATACGAGCGCGCACAAAGAGGCGCTCTGCTTTGATAAGAGATATCATGTTGTATAGCCAGAAAAGCGATTCTCGTCCTCTATAGGATCTGAACAAGGAGGTGTGAACCAAGGAGAACATTGTGGTTTTATCTTGTATTTACAAGAAGGTACGTTTCCGGCTATTATCCAAGAAGAAACTTTAGAAGCACAGCTTTCTGTAGGAGGACTAAAGATTTTTATTCAAAAGGACATCGTGAAAATGCCCTGGAAATGGTTATTAAAGTAGCAGAAAGAAGTCTTGTGTTTAGCGGATTCGTGCCTAATAGATGATTCAAAAGAAATATTAGCAGCCACTACAGCCTGATACGAATTCCCAAGGAGACATAGTTGCAAAGCACGACAAGATTCAGAAGCTGGGCTATGGATAAAGTCGAACAAGCAGGCATGTTGACCAGAATTATTAGGGAAATAAGA